CTCTTGCTTTTGCTGCTGCCAAACTGACTGAGGAGCACGTAGATGAGCGTGAGCTACAGAACGGACATGGTACACTGTATTTTGATCCATGTCCTTATTTGATTGCACATCACTTGCCTTCTTTTCATTGTCTTTGTTGTCCATGGCTCAGAAGTTGTCTTTTTCCTTCGTCTACTTCTGCACGGGACGTCTTTTTACTGTCCTGGCCTCGCTAAGCACTGTGACTTTTAACAGTAACTCAGCTATACAGGTAGCTAAACACTTTCCCATCCGTCCACCAAAAAGCACTCTATTTGGTTCTTTAGCAGGATTTAATGAGAATCGTGTAAAACTGTAACACACAAAAGTACAGAAAATGAATGCCAGTTAGGCTAACGCGTCGGGCTAACACGAGTAAAAGAAATATCTATCGTCACATAAAACATGTCAACGGGTTCCAAATTATGATTTATATGACAAGCAAATTAGAATAGTACTTACAGACGATGCCGTTTCTGAACTTAGATTAAAGAAAAACACAACAAAGAGGGCCCCTTTCGGACTACATGGGCCAACGGCTTTCTTCCTGTCTCGTAAACAAACCGTAGTAATAAAAGTAACCACAAGATGGCGTCAGTAGATTAACTTAACATTGAATAACAGGTTAAATTAAAGCTGCAAGCAGCCTCGAGCGGCCCTCGGCTGAATCCCATCCATTAATTAGGTATTAATCACAGGAAGTGCTGCAACTAAATATTACAACCCCAATGAATCGGTAAAAAGATACTTAGCATTTTCTCAGAGCTCTTTTAAACGACATTTTAAACATCTTCTATACATAATAACAAACAACTCTCAATGTATGAAACTGGATGTATCACACACACTATTCAGTTTATTGAATTAGTAAAGCGCTTCGTTAGCATTAAAAACGTTGCAGGCCTCAGGCATTGGGTTAGCATCCTCCTCAGAATAACTGTTCCAAACATGACGGCTTCCAGAACCAGCAGGAAGGAATAAATTACTCACCGCACCGCGAGTTACACTGTTTAAACGAACAGCAATGGGCTCTTTGCACCTGCCGCGCTGACGTCACAACTGTATACCCGAATGCGGCTCTTTATTCCACTTTCAGAAACTATGACTGCTATAAAAGACAAAGTCGTACTTAAGACACAAATAAAACAATACTATGTACTTTGTTTAAGTTTTCATGGATTTCCAAGCCATCCTCAATTAAGACAGCTTGTAAATATTCGTTGCTACAAGTTAAAGCTACCACTTGAAGCTAACGCCGTACACAACGCTCTAAGCACCGTCTTAATGAGCCATTCACAACAAGCATGCAAAAGTAATAAAACGAAATAACACAGAAATCTTAAGCAACACTGCCATATTTTTCTAAAAGTAATAACTCTGAAGCTGAACAGTCAGCTGAACTAGAACTCCGATACCAGAGTAAGCTCTGGCTGTTTTTCTTCGTCATAATTCAAGCAAAAACTCTGAACTGTAATCTGCCCCCCCACCCCCTCTCCAGTTAACAATAAACACACGTAATATGCTTGAAAATAAGGCACAAACTGTCCGTTAGAATGGCTGAGAAATATTTAGATAATTAAATAGCAGATTTTTCCTAGAAAGCTAGCAGGCTTGTGCTAGCAGTTTAAAGAAAATAAAACTCATATCTGTGAATGTATAACGAGGTGAACATCTTAAAACCTTTCTTTGCCTTACTTGTTGGGGTTTCGGATCGATGTACATTATTAATTGTTACCTTGGTGTAACCGGTGTATACTAACAGAGTTCTTTTCTGGGAGTCTTATACAACTGGTTAACCTTGATATGTTCTGCGTTGTGTTCAATTGAAGAAGGGAGTCGAACCACAGGAGTTGCTGGTTGTTCTTTAATGCAGGTTACTGGCAGAGGCCTGGACAAAAAGAAATAAAAATGTCCTTTAACATGCAGCTCTTCCATTCACAGGAGTCGGAATTCCCCTCTTCTCAGGCAGCCTAGCGCCAACTGCAGGTAGTACAGTACTCTAGTTCTTGGAAATAAATCTACAATAATATAAAAAGTAGATTTGTGACCTTAATACAACCAGTTTAAACATTGTGGAACAAAAGAACCAAATACACATACCTGGACAAAAAGAAATAAAAATGTCCTTTAACATGCAGCTCTTCCATTCACAGGAGTCGGAATTCCCCTAGCAGATAAGCACATGAAGAAACCCTGTGACTAACTAATAACTAATAACAATATCTGCCCTAACATTTAAGTAAAATGTTCTTAACTCGTCCAAAAGAATGCTTCTCTGTTTGTATTAAAACAAATAGACATTCACAGCTGCATGTACATACAATTATTTCAAATATTTCATAAAATGTGAGCTCAACCAAAAGCAAAGAAAATCTCCTACCTCTTCTCAGGCAGCCTAGCGCCAACTGAAGGTAGTACAGTACTGATGTCATAAGATGCTCTCTTAAAGTGACAGTACAGATACTGGTGCTTATCAGAATAAGTAGACTAATACAATTCTTAAAATATAATAGAAAAATAAGATTCTTCAGAATTAATCAGGATTTGGTGGAATTTCAAACATTATAATAAAAATAAATAAAAGCATATTTTCTAAAGTTGTTACATTGGCAAAACATTTCAGCCGTTTTTCCCGAACGCGTAAGCTGAGGTGCAAAGAGCCCATTAAACTTCTCCAACTCCGGTCCAACAGAGCCTTCTTGCTCAAAAGCGTGGTTCGGATTTGCAACTCCAAAATCCAAGCAAAATGTTGAGAGTAGTCCAGTTCTGTGGCTCCAAAAAGCAGGCAAACTGTTCAGGAAAACTTCGCAGCTCCAGCTGTCGCGGGCTGACTGTTATTACGTAGCGTCGATCTGTTTTCTCATTGATGGAGTACCACTGCCTCCTGCTGGCGCAATACTGGTATTGCACTAGCAGTACCAGTATTTCGCCACAAGGTGCCAGTGGTACTCCATCAACACTGACCCCAGGGTGTTCTTACTTCGCTGTGTCATAAGTTTTGCTGAATGACTTTGTTTGTATTATTTCTAGCAAAAATGAATGAATGTTTGTACTTTAACCCACAAAATAAACTTATATATATAAAAACTTATAATAATGTATATTTAAATAATTAATAACATAACATAACCTATGGGCTGCTGTTTTCTAGGGGGCGCTAGAGAGAAATTAGGCCACGCCCTACAAATATTGTGATGGCTTCCTGTAAGGGAGTGTATGAGGATCCATCCTTGTGAGTTTGGAGCAGCTGGGCCCGAAAATGTGGAATTGAGAGCCAAACGTATGGTGATGGCGTTACAGGTCACTTCGCCACGCTGCCCCGCCCACCTACTCCATCGAAGCTGGTTGGGGTTGGAATCCTCAATACACCAACATGTCTTCTGTGTCTGGGCACAGTTTCATGTTGATGAGGTCAAAGGGGTGAGATAGCGACCGTTAACAGTAAAACATTACACTTCCTGTTCTCAGGGGGCGTAGCCTAAGTGATGTCATCATTCGACCATAGGGTATTGTCGGGCAGCCGATGATGATCAATCACAGTAACTTTGGTGCCTCTGTGAGTTTGTGTGTAGGAAATATAGCAGTTTATGTTTTTATGGCGTGTAGGTGAACTTTGACCCCTGCTAGCCCCCCTTCAGCATTCTCAAAAACTCACCGTTTAGATAACTTTAGATGGGACATGCCTTATGAACAGACTGACTGAGTTTCAAGCCGATCAATGAAAATCCCTAGGAGGAGTTCGATCAAATACCAACGCTGTAAATGGCAAAAATGGGGTCAAAATCTGAACTTCAATCTAAAATGGCTGACTTCCTGTGGGGTTTAGACCATGGCTCCAAGAGACTTTTTTGTAAGTCCTGACAAGGTACACATGTGTACAACGTTTCGTAATTGTAGGTTAAAGCATGGCTTGGGGCTGATCATTTAAAGTTTTCTAGGGGGCGCTATAGAGAATTTAGGCTACGCCCACCAAATATTGTGATGGATTCCTGTCAGGGAGTGGATGAGGATCCATCCTTGTGAGTTTGCAGCAGCTGGGCCCGAAAATGTGGAACTGAGAGCCAAACGTATGGCGATGGCGTTACAGGTCACTTCGCCACGCCGCCACCACCTGCTCCATCGAAGCTGGTCGGGGTTGGAATCCTCAATACACCAACATGTTCTCTGTGTCTGGGCACAGTTTCATGTTGATGAGGTCAAAGGGGTCAGATAGCGAAAGTTCACAGTAAAACATTACACTTCCTGTTCTCAGGGGGCGTGGCCTAAATGATGTCATCATTCGACCATAGGGTATTGTAGGGCAGCCGATGATGATCAACCACAGTAACTTTGGTGCCTCTGTGAGTTTCTGTGTAGGAGATATAGCAGTTTATTTTTTTATGGCGAGTAGGTGAATTTTGAGCATCTTGGGGAGCTCTACAAGTGTACCAAATTTCATGTCTCTACGATGAAGTAAATGAATAGCAAAGGGTCCTTTGAAAATTTCTAGGTGGCGCTATTGAGCCATTTCTTGTGCAATTTTTGTGACGACTTTAAAATACGTAAATTTGAAAGAGGCTTAAGGCCTCCGCCAAGTTTGGTGAGTTTTTGAATATGATAAAGCCCCCAAAAAGCCAATTCATTTGGAGGGAGAATCGTAATAATAAGAAACAGTACAGAAACAATAGGCCTTCGCAGCGCTTAGCTGCTCGGGCCTAATTAAACAGGTTTCACTACATAGTGTATTAAATACACTTAAATAAATACACTGGTTGAAAAATTTATCTTAATTTTAATATACATGAAAATCTTGCTTCTTTATATGTAATGAACTTTAATACTCTAAGACACATGAATCCTTCAGATAAATTGGTGAAAGAAATGCGAGTTTAAAGAAAATCTGATTAAGACAACATTAACTTACCATAATCCCACCACATACACTGTATCTATCTGTAGTCTGCAACATGTACTAATTTTCTAAAGAGAAAATGACAACCACATTATTTTTCTTTTGGATTTATTAAAAAGGTTCGTTCCACAGTAGTTCATAGTCTGGCAACAACATAACAAAACAAAAGAAAAACCAAAAACAGTAAATAAAAATAAAGTTTACACCCCAAAAATAGCACTGAGCAAAATGCCTAAGTAGAAAGGGATAAATAGAAGTAAAGGCTTTAAAAATGCAAACATGTAATTTAAACAGATTTTGTTTGCAAATTTATCAACAGTTTTGGTCAGTGAGCTTTGAGTTTAATTTTTTTTTTGAAAAAGTTTATCTATTTCCTTATTTTAAGAAAATACTAATTGTCAGCTACAGATAATGTCCACATCTGATGAATTGAAAAAAAAAATGTACACAGTAAAAACGGCTGGCAAATATAATACCACACCAAAAGTAACAGTGCTTATTTTTTAGAAAAGAAGGTTTGTTTAGTTCATTTTTTTTCCCTTTTCATTTAAAAAGCAGAATAGGCAAATGAATTCCTAACCTGCCCAACAGAAAGCAGCACACTGACCACAGAAAGACAGAACACCTGAAAGTAATTTTAAGAAACAATAAAATACTGTATGGCTTTGCAATTCTTCTCATAAAAATATTTTTGATTTGAAAATATTTCTGCATTTGAAAAATGCAAGTTTTTGTAAAATGCTGAATATTGAATTAATTTGTTGCAGTGGCACAAAAATAGACAAGATGTAAATTGCTAAAACAATTTTAAAATGTTTTTTGTATATTTTTGCCTATCTTCAGATATATTTTTATTTTAGCAGAAGAAATAAAGCTTGTAGAATTACTTCCAAACCTTTCTGTGTGCAGTGCAGTATGTTTTGTGCAGTGCAGTATGTTTTGTGAATCCGAGTTTAAGGTGACGTTGCAGTATTTGTGCTGTGAGAGATTTGTGTAAAAAAATGTGAAAGAAAAAATGTAAAAAATTCTCCACTTCTGCTGTAATTTATAGAGAATCAAATCACTCCAGATCTTTGATAAGGCACAGAGTTCTTTAAGGCACAAAATGTAGGTGCGGTGAAAATCCTTAAGGCACAAATGTGATGGAAATGTTGTTTCTTGATGCACCAGGAGGAAACTTCCTTCTTGAAGTGATGACATTTTCAAGGGTTTCACTTCACAATTCCTCCTTTCTTCCCACTCCTTCTCTACTCCAAGGGGCTTTGAGCATCTGCTAGCAGCTCTGGATTTAAACATTCAATTGGACACTGGATGTTCTGTAAGAAAACAACAAGAAAATAGGTTTTAATTCTATCTGGGATGAATAGAATCACAAGTACATTTTTAAAAGGTTCACAATGCAAACCTATTTGCACTAAGCATCTAAGAAATGCCCAAACCATACATATAAAAAGTTAATCAATCATCAGAAAATGAATTCCTGATGCTCAATTCAGTATAACAAAACAGAGTCTCAAAGATAAATTCAATATTCTTTCTAAGAGTAAAAACATCCACTGACCAGTTTACGTAGAGCATTTTCCCGGTAGCGCTGGAAGGCATCTAAGCCACCAGGCTGCAAGACCTCAGCCTCCACATTGGTTTGTCCTCCAGGCCTTCTGCAGTTCTCACATCGCCAGCCCTTTACGAGGAGTTAAATAGCACAGTCAACACAAAATTAAAGCTTTCTGTCCATCAAATATATAAATGTTATGATGCAAACTGAAATCAAATTTCAGGTTTTCCAGCCTGATTAGTGACCAGCTGGTGCCTTTTTTGTGCATCCAGACCAAACAAAGGCCAGCAGACACAAACAATCAAAGAAAAGTTCATACAGTTTATTTTAAGAGTTTTCTAGACAATGCTAAATTATGCACATGAAAATGCAAGATTAAAGAGTGCTGTAAATTTTTTGAAAATTCAATTTTCCAATCAAAATGTACATTCTAATTGCTAAGAGGTTGCTAAAATGACACATCAGCAGATAACAAGAAGCCAAGCTTCTCCATTCTTTTGAACACTTGACATTTTTGAGGATTTTTGAAAAACTCTGTACCAAGTAACTTCAACCTTGCAGAAATAATGACTGATCAAATCTATCAAATTTTCTAAACTTTTTTTTTTACAATTTTGTTTTCTTGCAAGAAATACTGAATCATTCATAACATCTCTATTTTATTTCTTCCAAACTTTACAAAGACACTACACTGAGTAAAAAGCAGCCGTGATGACAAAATGAAAGAGCCAGACACTTTAAAAATGCAGTCTAGGTTGCATTAATCTTTGACCCAAACATTTTTTAGATGAAAAAACAATATTTCAATCAGCATCTGATTGAAAAAAAAAGTTTTCTTCTTTTTTTTTTGTAAAACTCTAAAATGCCATTCATTACTTGCATGTTTTTATCAAACTGATCGGGCAATATAAATACTGAGCTGGAATAAATCTGTTGCATTACAAGGCCTAAAACGTTTGCATTACCAGGACTAAGGCATTACAGCCTCATCTCACCTGTTGTCCTCCATAGCAGGTACAAGTACAGATGGCACCCATATATTCCTTCTGCCACTGGTTCCCAACTTGATACATTTTTCCATCATCGTAGCAAGTGGACTCATCTGAAAAATAAAGCAGAGTAATAAAGATCAACGAAAAACAATTTACATGACAATTAAGGCGGAGTATATAATAATTTGAGATTTAAAGAGTTAAAATTTTGAGTACATACGTGGTTCGCATTTGAACTCTCCTTTGCCGTTGCCCAGACAGGTGCAGCTCATCATATGACCGTTCTCAGCACGACGATCCCACTTTTCTCCAATGTGGTAATTATTACCGTTATCATGGCACCACTCTGTGAAAGGGAGTGGTGGCAAACAAAGGCAGAGAGGATAGAGTTGAAGTGAAGAGGCAGGTGAAAAAGTTCAATACATGTGAGAAGAAGGTCTTTAAAGAGTGCATTTATTTATATTAAACAAATATAGAACTCTCAGTGAAGTTGTCTAATTATGTGTGGAATAAACTTTTTTTTCCCCAGAGTAAAGTACCAAATATAATCCAGTGATTCTGATCCCAGTTCCTGGTATTGTCATGTTAGCTGTTAACTGTTATGGACAATACAAGAAACTGAGTTCTGATGCTTAGACAGAGCAGAGGCTTTGGCATGGGCCTTCAGACGCACTCACACATCTAAAATCTGTTCAAGGTGTCCACCATGAATATCTGCAGCACATAGAGCTCTATGGCATTTAATTCACAGCTAAGGAATTTATACTGAGGATAGTATTTTATGTTTATTGCCAGCATTTAATCTCAGTTGGCTGAACAATACTACATTAATAAATTCCTTTTGTGTAAAAGTGCTGCAATGAGTTATTAAGTGTTTGCAAAGCACTGCAGAGATGGGTTAGTAAGCCACTCACTGGATGAATCACACCTAAAGTGACCACTGCCGAGCCCCAGGCACCGGCACCACAACTTGAAGCCTGTCTCGGACATGCGTTCCCACTCAGAGCCCATCTGGTGGTATGTGTGCGTGAATGTGTCGTAGCACACGTCTCCATTGGTGGTAACAGGAATGTCATCTGGAACTTCAAGAGGAGTCCAAAAAAGAAGTGAATTTATGTAGTCTTGCTAAAAATTTAGATGGAATGTTGACACGGAATTTAAAACAAGATTCTCTACCTGCATTGCCAACAGTAACAACTTCTTCCAGAACTGTCTGTTTGTTTCCATCCTTCACAGCCTCTACGACAACATTATAGGATGCTCCAGAAGTCAGTCCGATCAGGGTGGCGCTGTTGGAGGTGCCTGGCAGGCGCATCTGAGTGTCAAACAAGAAGGAGGCTTAGTTGTGATTGCTACTTTAGATTTCATGTATATTAATATAAAGAAAAATGTCAATGAATACCTGAATGCCTCCTTCCTCCAGGTCTGTAATTGGGCTGCAGGACACCTCGTACTCAGTGGTTTCAGGGACAGGTTGCCAGGAAATGGTTGTGATTGTCTTTGCTTCTTGGGGGAGATCAGTTTCGTTGTCAGGGAAGCCGAAAGCGAGGCCAGGCAGTGGGGTGTCGCTCACCTACCGGTTCCAAAGGCAAAGTTAACTCAGTAAACAGAAGACAAACACATTTCATTTATAAATATTGAAAGAAAATGCATAGGATTGCACATGACAATGACAGTCATTACCATGAGCAAATCTTATACTTTACATATTTGACCTTAAATATTTTGCACTGTAGAACTGAAGTATAAGGAATTCTTGTTAGATAATAGATTGGTGTTAGAAAATGCTTAAGGGTATTTAAAAGGTAAACTTGGTAATTTAAAATAGTAACACAACATTAGAGTTTTCTAAAACAGCAGGTCAAAGTGTTTTGAAAATCCAAACTTGTAAAATGGACACTATAATCTGATCAGTGAATCTCCATGGCTATGAAGCAGACCAAACCTCAGTGCATAAAAGGTTCCATAGCACCATAAGCTTCATTAAAAGGCACTGTGCCTGAAGAATGCAACAATGAATGTATGCACTTAAAATATGTAAATAATTAAAAAGAAAAATTCTAAATCTAAAAAGGTGTTTTAAAACAAAATTTTCTTAGGTTGATTCTTAGTCTTGGTTGACTAAATATATATTATGGGATCAGATTAGGAACGTAATGCAAATATTACACACCTTGACCAGAGGTACTCTGTTTCCATCAGGACCAGCGACAGGAATATAAATCAGGGGCTCTCTGACTGTGGGTCTCCGGCCTTCCTTGGGTCCACCATAGGGGCTAGGAAGTCCAACATTTGGGCCCAAGTTCTGATACTCTGTATAAATGTGCTGCCCCTGCTGGCCCGGTTGGTTCTGACCACTTGTGCCAGCCAGATGGACATAGTTAGAGTCAAAACTGAAAAAAAGGGAAATACATGCAAATGAGAACAAAATGTGCACTAAAAGGTGTTTTAAAATAATCCCAGCTATTTCATCAAATCATTTTCATAAGGTCCTTATTTATGCCTCACATCTTTTCGTTCAAGGTCTCTGGAACATCCAGGATGTCGGTGCTGGGCCGATGGGAAAGTTGCGGCAGTTCAGGTACCAACATCTGATGAACAGTGGAATAGTCTGCAGCTGGCTCTGATTTCACAAAGAGACAGATAAATGTAAGAAGGAAATACTTTAACCACCTTTATCTATACAACATTAAAAACAAATTCTGGCCTAAACTACTCCAGTTAAAATAGCGCATCTAAGCATTTAAAAAAAAAATACAAACATGTAAGATATAGTTAATCTGTCGTTTTTATTTTTAAAAAACTGAGCAATCCATATGATTCTACTACAGCTTTCTTTTTTCTTTTTTGCTAAAGTCACCTGTTTATTGTGCTTTCATTTTCGTCATGACAATCTGGAATTTCACTGCCTTTTGAAGATGCAATTTTGAAAACCAACCAGCTGCTAAAATACATTTTAAATACAAAATATTACCTGAAAAAAATATTCCATTTTATTTGTTTAAACACCACTTGTTTGTGTGATTACACGGCAGAAATCACCAAAAAGATTAACATACTCAATGTGGTTATTTAACATTATTCTAAACCACTAGAGGGCAACACCGACTAGATTAAAAACGCACTAGGTTAAACTATAAATGTAAGACAAGACACCATTAAGTTATGTCTATGATAATGTTTTATTTATGATTTTCAATCTAAATTTACTAATAACAATTATGTTACATGCACAACAGAAACGCTACCATCTTGTAAAATCTAAAAAAACTGTAAAAACAAACAAAAGAAAAAAATATATATATAGTTGAACTTACGGGTTCTGGCCTTGCCCACAAGCGGTGTGCTTCTCAAAGAGTTCTGCAGTGCCACAATCTTAATGACATACTCCGTTCCTGGTTTAAGACCTAAGAACAAATCAAAGCACAAAATTAAAAGTTTTTTTTCAACATTTGCCGAATTTAGTGAAATATTTATAGAATTTGTATTTAGCCTTTTTCATTAGCCCACTCACCATCGATGGTGGCGAAGCTCATGCCTGCGTGAGGTCTAGGAGTCAGCTCGCGAGGCAAACCCCCAGCCTCCTCATAAGTGACATAATAGCCGGTGATCCTCGGACTGTGTGATGGCTCCCACATGAAGGAAATGCTGGTAGGATTCAGTGAGGTAAAGCGAATGTTGGTGGGAGGAATGACTGTTGGTTGAGCTATAAATCAAACAAACAAAATATTACTCAGAAAAACTTGTTTTCTCATCAATTTGAATAGCATTTCTTGATAAATAGCTGACATCTAATCACGTTTTGCTACTTATTATTGTCATCTTCCTGCAACTGCAACAACATAAACTACACCTGATACTTCTACACTCTCTGTGCTATAAACCCATAATCTTTTAAGTTCACAAACAAAAATAATTTAGATTGAAAAGTCAGGAAAGTTTAGTAGAAAGTAAAAAACAAAAAGCTAACCGAAGATGTAATAATATAGCTGATGTTTTCTTTTTACAAAATTTCACAAATACATAATTCACACACTAAGAATCATAATTGAAAATAGACAACAGAGAGATCAGTAAGACTGAAGATGAAAGGACTGAAATGCTGGTTAGTACAGTCCTGGAAATGTTATAGAGGACAAACTGTTTGCATTGCAGATATCCTCAACTGCATAATTAAAACTTCATCACCTATCTTAACTTTGCTTTCATGGTGCACTTTTGAAAAGAGACTGCTGACAGAGTGGTGAGAACAAAAGTAGAATAATTGAAAGGCTTTTGGCAAAATCCTAAATGATCCTGTAAACAATGACCTGTAAACCCCATTTTCAAACATTAAGCTGCGTGTTTTTGTTTTCATTTACCAGGTAAAGTCACGTGGAGTTATTTTTAAAGCTGTACATAAATAAATAATGTTTTCCGGGCAGCTAACGCTAGACAACAAACCTGACAGCCTCTTATGCAAACAGAAACAAACTGGAGATTTCTACTATGCTTCCCTCTCTCCTTTCAAATGTCCAAGTTTCTCAACAACTCTACCAAAACAAATGAACAAAACTAATAGTTGGAGAGAGGTTTTACCTCATACATTTTTTTTAATAATGACTGATTTTTTTTACAGCAACAATAAAATTTTACTGTGGAGTTTTAATAAAAAAAATCTATTTCTGAATATTTCCTTAGTGTAATACATCTGTTTCTGAACACAGGCGATTGATTACCTGTGGTAGCTGTAAGTGTAAAAGGTATGCTGCGTCCATTGCCCTTCAGTGTATAGAGATTGACCTTGTAGGTGGTACCAGGCTCCAGTCCTACAAGTGGACATAAACAAGTTAGTGTATCTAAGTAAGTCTAAAACCAAAACTAGAAGCTTTTTGCATTCTTGTGATTTGAGAAACTTGTCTACCTTTGAGAACGTATGTGCGTGAGTCAGGCCCGATTGTCCTCTGAATGGGAATGTTGCCTGGAGAAGTGGTGGTGGGCGTGGCTTCGATCAAGAATCCAGAGATGGTGTCGACCTTTGTCCTCCAAGTGAGGGTGATGGAGGAATCTTTAACTTCGGATATACGCACACGTCGAGGCGGGCTGATATCTTCACGAAAGTGAGTAAAGGAATAAAGCATGACTTTGCATAATGTTACACCAAAAACTGTCAGTCTTTCAAAATGTCAAAATTAGAGACTAACTTTCCAGAGTGGTGACCTCTCCTTCAACTGGTCTGCTGGTGAGAGAGTTCTTCAAAGCATAAACATAGACTTCATAGGTTGTTGCAATCTATTAAGAGATAAATGAACAAAATGAATTACAGTAGAGACTGAGACAGTTTTGTTTATGAACCTGTTTTGTCACAATAACAACTAAATGTGCAGATCTCCATCTCATTAGTTATTGTGCATGCAAGTTAAAAAAGATGAAAAACTTCCCATTAGAAACATTTATTTTGCAAAGTACTTTGAGGTGATATTTGTTGTGCATTGGTGTTATACAAAGTGATTGAATATTTTTATCAGCTAGCTCACTATAGTCAAGCATTGTATCCATGGCATACCCTAAATACATTTCAAGTGTCTTCTGGTGGATTTCAGTCACACTCACCATAAGTCCAGGGATGTGGGCCTGAGTGGTATCTGGGGCTAGGTTGATCTCCTTGGTGGGTCCACTCTTCTTCTTTGGGTTTACTACAACACGGTATCCAGTGAGGCCCGGAAGACCAGTAATCAGATTTCCCTGACCGGGTGCAGTCCAGCGCATGGTAAAAGACGTTGGACCAACATCAGAGAACTGGAGGTTGGTGGGAGGGGAGATGGCTAGAAGGAGTTAAAAAGAAAAAGAGTCAGAAAGAAATAATGATCTGTGTTTTATGAGCCATAAGTTTTACAAGAAAAAGATAAAACAAGTACTGCAATGCTGGATAAAGTAGTTGTAAAAGTTTCTTACCTGTAGCTTGTGTACCGATCAGAGGAGTACTGGTTGTACCATCATGCATGGCAATAACTTTCACTGTATATTCGGTTCCTGGCTGTAGTCCACTGATAATGGCTGACTCAGCATCTCCTCTCGGAGATGGATACAACTCTCTCTCGCCTTCCTCCGAACTTGAGTACAAAACACGGTAAGATGTGACAAATCCCTCTGGACTATCCCAGGAGATCCGCAAGGAAGTGGAATCAACGTCTGCGAAGGTAAGGTCCTTGGGGCGGTCCACATCTAAAAAGGTCAGATTTGGGGTTTTATTCCTGTTTGTGCATGGTAAGTTACAGTTATCACTTCTCTCTAGAGCAATAGACTTACTTGTCACAGCATTCACCACCAAAGGAGAGCTCTCACCATTTTGACCAAGGGCATTCACACTAAAAATGTATTCTGCAGTCGGCATCAGGCCTGAGAAAGTGAACTCAGTTTGATCTGAAGAAGAAAGCCAAAATGCAGCAATTAAATCTCAACTCATGCTAAAATAGCACATACCATACAAAGATATTTATGGAAGGTTTCCGTATTTTGTCAGGTTTGTGTATTTTATTATAATTTTAAGCAATAGGTGAACAGAGTCTTGCTGCAAATACATTTGGTAGAAAAAGTGAGTTCAAACACTATACCTGGAGCCACCACTTCAGTGAATGACACCCCTTGTCCATTTCTAGGAGCCCCAGTCACCCTGTAGCCTTTGATTGGACCCTGAGCTGGACTCCATCTCACTGTGATGCTGTTGTCATTCACATTTGTCACCTCCATTTCAGAGGGAGAATCCACGCCTAATAAAGGAAAAGAAAGAGAAGAAGAAAGAAAGACAGGTTCTCAACCACAAAAAGCTTAATTGCCACTAATGTTAGTGTGTCTGGTGTGTGTGCATACCAGTCCTGTGTGTAACGTAGATGGGAATGCTAGAAGCAGGACTGTCTCCTCTACCTGTCACAGCATAGACTGTGATAGTGTAATCAGTACCAGGCCTTAAATTGCTGATTGTAGCAGTTGACTTGGTGCCAGGCACAGTAAACTCCTTAGTGTGACCACCTGAGGAAAGCAGCGAAAGTGTCAGACAATTTAATTTTATCTTCAGATCTTTTTGTCAAGCATAGAAAAAAGAAAGACTAATCAGAGATGCTAATTTTTCCTGATTAAATCACTTTTAGGTATGTTCTCTCATTTGTTTAAAACATTTTGAACTGCTGTGAATTATAATAAAAACTTTTAGGGTTACTTTAAAAAAGTAGAAATGTGTAACACAAGTAAGTGCTTTTCTTCTAAAAGACTTTTCTCACTAACAAATCAAACTTAATTTTTGCAGCAAAATACAACTAAATTGGTTCAAATATGCAATCTTTTTTTCATCAATTAATGGTCACCTGACTCTCCGTGAGTAATCCTGTAGTAGCGCACTGTGACTGGCGGCGCGGCCCAACGAACGGTGATACTCGTCGGGGTGGAGTCAAGCACTTCTAGGTCAGTTGGAGCATCAGAAACTGGACAAACAGTAAAATACCACTATTGACATATTTGTGGCAATGTGACCACTTAAAATATAATTAAATACATCCTGGATCCATACTTGTTTTCTGTGTCCCACTGAGCGGGAGGCTCTCTTGTAGTCCGCTCACAGCATAGATGTTGACCAAGTAGTCAGTGTCCGGAGTGAGACCAGTCATTGTAAAGTGGTTTCTTGAAGGTGGTAACCTCTCATCCTTGGCTCTTCCACCACTAATCATCTGATAGCGAACTCGGTATCCAGTGATTCTACTTTGAGGAGGTTGCCAGTGGATGGTGAAGGAGTTTGTCATGATTTCAGAGAAACGCAGGCCAACTGGTGAATCCAGAGCTGCATACAACAAAGGACAGTTAGAGATAATAAGAGAAAACATGTCCACAATGCCAATGCATAAAACAGGATACAATAGACGCTGAGAGTTTGTTTTTTAGAATCTCAAGTCACCTGTTTTCTTGACACCAATAGTAGGTGAGCTCTCTCTCTGCTCGTAAACACACACCACTCTCACCAGATACTCTGTGTTCGGCAGCAAATCTAAGAATAGCAAAAATATCAAAATTAGAAAATGCATCCACTCCTGTATTTGCATGTTCTTGCATCATCTGCGCTCAAAGCAACTTACGTCTTAGCACCACTCTATTTGTATCACCTCCAACACTGGTTTCTGTAATTTCATCATTATCAATGGGGTGGTATCTAAATAAAGAACAGTTCAGTGGTGAGGGTACAAACACAAATTAAAAGGCCTGAGATATAGTAATATACTGTTCAAAAATGCTCAATGTTTTGTTTATTCTTATACCTAATGATGAAACTGTTAATGTCTGAGGTGTTTGGAACTTGAGGAGAAACCCATGTGACCTCAAGACTGTCTGGTCCAATTTCACCAAAGTTCAAATTAGTGGGGGCTGGTACAGCTAGTGGAGAGAAAGGTCAGCTTAATTCAGCATATAGCAATAAAAAAACAAAAAAAACAAAGTGAACAAAGAATCTGTTGTTACCACTGGTCAGAAAGTTATGTTTTTAAAAAGTGACAACAAAAAAAAGACAATAACAAAAACAAAATTCAAGAGTGAAACTATGACATTGCCATATTTTGTCATATGAACAACAGGGTTTGTGTGTCAGTCTGACATTTAACAGCCTGTTTAAATTTAAAGACCAAGAGGTAATAAAAGCGTTTTAATTGAAGCCAGATGGTTCACGCGTACACTGAGGCACAAAATCTTACTAAACTGACAACACAGCATATAAAGCAATTTCACCAGCAATTTTAAAGGTTTTTCATTTGAAGTTCCAGAAAATTAAGGTTGCCAAGAACATTTTTCAATCTGAATATCTAATACTTTATAAAAAATATTGTCTGTGTTTAAATATGCGCAGTCAATTATTTTGTGAATATTGAGATCGATTATATGTTCATTAAGCTCATAATTTAGACTAAAGTTGGTAAAAAGAATAGTTAATGGAACAAACACTGATTTAGAGAGAAAATATCTCAAATAGGCAAAAACATCTGAGAAATCAATGCATAAGTAGGAAATCTTACATGTTTGTTGTGTGAACGTGGTGGGTTCACTCTCGCCGTGCTCTGTTACTGTGGTAACGCTAATGTCATAGTCGATTCCAGGTTCCAGACCATACACCGTGTACTGGCCAGTGGTCGGCGTCACCATGTCTTCAAAAATGGGAATGCTCTCACCAGCTGCAACGACTGTAATCTTGTACCCCGTAACGACAGTGGTGTCAAGCGGCGACCAACGGAGACTGATGGTTGTGTCAGTCACTCCTTCGAAGGTGACGTCGGTCAGTTTTGGGACTTCTGGATGAGTGGGAAAAGAAAGAGCCACACAAGCTTCAGGATGCTAGCAGGTTGTACAGCTAAAATGCACAAGTTTTTCTTTAAAGCTATTCATTTTATTTCATATCCATGTTTTAATGTTTACCCCAAGAGACAGTGTTACATGCTAAAGCTAAAGATGAAGGAGTTCCTAGATCAGATTTATCACATTTTCTGTCTATTTTAGAGCATAATCAGCTAGTTTAGATTTAGTTTTCTAAGTATTACCTGCCAGTTATCAACACAATGAAGGCTAACAACCACATATTCTGACAGACAATCTGTTGTTTGACCTGAAGCCAACATAAAGTTGTTCTGTCTGTCTTTGAAAGCACCTCAAAGCCTACAAGATGTTCTGGCAGGTAGGTATCTGGTTCAGGAGAGGGCCTAGTGTGGGATTGTGTTGTGGGATGCTTTCCTGAATCTGATGAATGAGCAGCAGAAATGGAGCCATTAATCCAGAGAGAAGAGAATGAGGGGAAGAGGACGAGCAGAAATCAATCTTTCTGCCTCTTTTTACTCCTTGGCCTCTCGTTTGTAGCTCCCCAGTTATTTTTCTTTTAATCTGAAAACTTTTTCCATCTTTAATTTTATTTCTTATTGCATATTAGACATTGTGCTTTTTATTTTTTACTGTTTTGTACTCATGTTTTATTTTCCCTGCATCGTATTTAAGTTTCTTCCGCTTATGTTGCTGTTGCCATATTTTTCTGATGGTTTTTCTCATCCTATCCAGCACCTGTAGATGACTTGTAAGCTACATTTTCTTCTTCCTGGATCTCTTATAAAGATACCTCGTTAAAATGTGTTTTGATGCAAAACGATAGAAATAAAATTTTGTCTTTGGAAATGAGTGGAGACTCTAGATTCTTGCTGAACAATGTGCATAGAGGCTGATAAGTCTAAGACTGAGTTTTTTCCACTGATGGGTAAAAATATTAATTCTGTACATTTATGCTTTAGTAAATAAGAATTATATATATTTAAACACCAACTCCTCGTAGACCGCACAGTTGCCCGAGACTGCAAAACCCAACACTCCAACCTGTGCATGGCTTGGATTGAATCCGCATACTTGGATTATTGAATGCTTAGAGATGTATAACATCAACAGGACTCTGAGAGCCTTCATTGCAAACTCGATGAGGCTGTGGAGAACCACCCTTGAAGCCAACTGCAAACCACTTGCACAAGTGTCCATAAAATGTGGCATATACCAAGCATATACCGCTACTGTTCTGCATAGGCCTGAAACCCCTCAGCCAAATTATCAACAAGACTGGCTACGGATACAGACTCAAAAATGGGGCCAATATCATTCACCTTCTCTACATGGATGACATCAAGCTGTACGCCAAGTGTCAACGAGACATCGACTCACTGATCCACACCACCAGGATCTACAGCACTGACTTTGGGATGTCATTCGGACTAGAGAAGTGTGGTCGGCTGATCACAAAGAGGGGGAAGGTCATCCGCACAGAAGGGGTCTCACTCCCACAAGTAACAATAGCAAACATAGAGGACAGTTACAAGTACCTAGGTATACCACAAGCAAATGGCAACCTCGATGAGGTCACAAGGAAAGGAGCCACAGCCAAATTCCTCTAACGAATAAGGCAAATCCTGAGAAGCCAGCTCAATGGCAAGAACAAAATCCGTGCGATAAACAGCTATGCCCTGCCAGTAATCAGATACCCTGTTGGAATAATTAGCTGGCCAAAGGAGGAGATAAAAGCCACAGATATTAAGACTAGAAAACTACTAACAATGCATGGAGGGTTCAATCCCAATTCCAGCACCCTGAGACTGTACACGAGCCGCAAGGACGGAGGGAGAGGACTAGTGAGTGTGAGAACCACTGTCCAGGACGAAACAACTAAGATCCATAAATACATCAGGGACAAAGCCTCAACAGACAATGTGCTCAGTGAATGTCTCAGACAACAGGGAACGGAGGTTGAGGTGCCAGAGATACCATCATGGGAGGACAAGCCCCTACATGGGATGTACCACCAGCAAATAACCCAAGTGGCTGGTATCAGTAAATCCTACCAATGGCTGGAAAAAGCTGGACTCAAGGACAGCACAGAGGCCCTCATCCTGGCCACCCAGGAACAGGCCCTAAACACCAGAGCAATAGAGGCCCAGATCTACCACACCAGACAAGACCCAAGGTGTAGGTTGTGCAAGGAGGCCCCTGAGACAGTCCAGCACATCACAGCAGGGTGCAAGATACTGGAAGGGAAAGCGTACATGGAACGACATAACCAAGTGGCAGGCATAGTGTACAGAAACATCTGTGCAGAATATGGACTGGAAACCCCGAGATCAAAGTGGGAAACACCCCCAAAGGTAGTGGAGAACGCCAGAGCTAAGATCCTGTGGGACTTCCAGATCCAGACAGACAAAATGGTAAGGGCGAACCAACCAGACATTGGCGTAGGGGATAAACAACAGAGGAAAGCCGTTGTGGTAGATGTAGCAATACCAAGTGATTGCAACATCAGGAAAAAGGAGCACAAGAAACTGGCGAAATACCAGGGCCTCAGGGAAGAACTGGAGAGGGCCTAGAAGGTGAAGACCATAGTGGTGCCTGTGGTCATCGGGGCCCTCGGGGCAGTAACCCCCAAACTGGATCAATGGCTACAACAGATCCCAGGAACAACATCAGACATCTCAGTCCAGAAATGTGCAGTCCTTGGCACAGCCAAGATACTGCGCAGGACCCTTAAGCTCCCAGGGTAGAGGACCCGAGCTCAGAGGATAAGAACCACCCGCGGTGGGTGAGAAGGGAATTTTTTAAAATATTGAGCCCTCATTTTGACACCAGTTTAACGGTTGGTTCTTTCCAGAATCCCCTCACCCCCTGTCGCTGCCAATTACATCAACAATCACAGAACAAACATCCGGCACTGTTCTCAAACCAGAATCTTTCCGACTTCTTGTTGTGTGCAAATATTCAACTCAGAAAGAAACTTAACTTGATTGTCTTTCAGCTGTCTTTGTCCTGGCATTGTGATCAGACCGTTAGCAGCCAACGGCTCCCAACCGCTAACGGCTCTGTGATCCAGGTTTCCTGTTTAGACAATCTCTGATGAATTTTCTCCAATGGTGTGCAGAAAAATCACTGCAAACACTGTGATATTCAGGTCACCGTTGAATGTTGAATCCAAACCAGAAACTGCTGCTGCGCAATTGACGCAACGGGGTGTTGCTATGTAACCAAAGAATGAGTGAGTTGCTAGGTAACAATAACTGAATACCAGCTTGTTGTTGTTAAGCCAGGTTTACGTCAGGCAAAGAACGGCACAGACCTTCATCTCTGCAGAAACCCTCAGCCTCAGATGCAACAAATCCACTTTCTTATTCTTATTCTTATACAGTCGGAAATGGTGGCTTCCAAGACATCACCTGGGTTTCCCCTTTTTCTACTTTTGGGCACCATTTGACCATCGGTCCTCGCACCCTGCCGTGCAAGTCCATTGTCCTCAAGAGCAGCTGTCTCCCAAGCGTGGATTTCAGCCTTGGTGATGTATTACCAGCTGAACTGTCTCCAGTGGCCATCAGCTTCAGCTGTAAAGGTTGTTTTTATTCAAACTTCAGCAGTTTTCTAGTTGTCCTTCTGAGGTAGTGACATCAATTTGTGACATCACGCAATTTGATGTCACAAAGAGTGATGCACCCTTTTTGGAGTGAGAATGCATCACTTCTGAATCTACGGTCATAGCTATTGCAGCAGTTGGAGAGAAAGCACAAGTGTTATACTAATCATACTAACAAGCAAACAGTCAATTTTCTGATCAATTTTCAGATTTTTTCAGAGAAAGAATTAAAAATTAATAAGACCAGTAAGATGAATAAGCCTTTTGATTTAAAAGACAAGGAAATGCAACAGACCATAGCGAGACAGATGCAGCAGCTCAATGACTATGTGAAAAAAGTCAGCAACTTGTCCATTGAGCGAAAGTCTTTGCTTAAAGCAAATGAGGAGCTGAACGCGCAAGTTCTAATTGTGAAAAAAGCTGCGCTTGAAGTTGACACTCTGCTTCGGGAGAAAGACAGGGAATTAAAAGAACAGCTAGAGGCAAACAAAGCTTTAAAGAAAAATATCACTGCTCTAGAGAATGAAAAGACCACCTTGAAGAACGAAAAGACGGCCTTAGAGATAGAAAAGACCGCCTTGGAGATAGAAAAGAGCGCCTTGGAGATAGAAAAGACGGTCTTAGAGAACGAAAAGACGGCCTTGGAGAGGAAAAAGACCGCGTTAGAAATAGAAAAGACCGCCTTGGAGAACGAAAAGACGGCCTTGGAGAGGAAAAAGACCGCGTTAGAAATAGAAAAGACCGCCTTGGAGAACGAAAAGACGGCCTTGGAAGAGAGAAACGTAAACTTGGAGCATGACAAGGCTGCCTTGGAGGAGAAAATCACCATCTCTGACCACATAAACATGATCTGGAAAGAGGAAAACACCGCCCTGAAGCTGAAAAGCGGCGTCTTGGAGCAGACAAACACCACCTTGGTGCATATAAACTCCACCCTCGAGCAGGAAAAGAATGCCTTGGAGGAGGAAAACACCACTCTGAAGGTGAAAAGCGCGGCTCTGGAGCAGAAAACTGACGTCTTGGAGCAAACAAACACCACCTTGGCGCATATAAACTCCACCCTCGAGCAGGAAAAGAATGCCTTGGAGGAGGAAAACACCACTCTGAAGGTGAAAAGCGCGGCTCTGGAGCAGAAAACTGACGTCTTGGAGCAAACAAACACCACCTTGGCGCATATAAACTCCACCCTCGAGCAGAAAAAGAATGCCTTGGAGGAGGAAAACACCACTCTGAAGGTGAAAAGTGCGGCTCTGGAGCAGAAAAATGACGTCTTGGAGCAGACAAACACGGCCTTGGCACATATAAATACCAACCTTAAGCATGAAAACACCGCCCTGAATAAGGGAAAGACCGCCTTGGAGGAGGAAAATACCGCCC